TTGAGGTTTACCCCCCTGCCACGCCACATTCTGTGTTCGATAGGCGCATCCTATTGATGTCAGTTGCGTTGTAGCATAACTAGGAGAATGTGTGCCCTTCTGAGCATAGGATTGTGGTATGACCGGGAGGTAAACTCAAATGGCCTATCCCGCACCAGGCTATCCGCGCGCTCCCAGGTCCAGTCTTTCTTCTTGCGTAGAAGCGAGGCTGAACCCGGGAGGCCGCAGATAGCCTGGTGTGGGATGGGCCCATTGAGCTTAACTCCCCTGCCACGATACATGCTATTTTCAATAGGGGCACCCTATTGATGTCAGCTGCGTTGTAGCATTACTAGGAGGATGTGTGCTTTCTGAGCATAGGATTGTGGTATGACCGGGAGGTAAACTCAAATGGCCTATCCCGCACCAGGCTATCCGCGCGCTCCCAGGTGCAGTCTTTCTTCTTGCGTAGAAGCGAGGCTGAACCCGGGAGGCCGCAGATAGCCTGGTGTGGGATGGGCCCATTGAGCTTAACTCCCCTGCCACGATACATTCTATGTTCAATAGGGGCACCCTATTGATGTCAGCTGCGTTGTAGCATTACAAGGAGGATGTGTGCTTTTCGAGCATAGGATTGTGGTATGACCGGGAGGAAAACTCAAATGGCCTTTCCCGCACAAGGCTATCCGCGCGCTCCCAGGTGAAGTCTTTCTTCTTGCGTAGAAGCGAGACTGAACCCGGGAGGACGCAGATAGCCTGGTGTGGGATGGGACCTTTGAGGTTTACCCCCCTGCCACGCCACATTCTGTGTTCGATAGGCGCACCCTATTGATGTCAGTTGCGTTGTAGCATAACTAGGAGAATGTGTGCCCTTCTGAGCATAGGATTCTGGTATGACCGGGAGGTAAACTCAAAAGGCCTATCCCGCACCAGGCTATCCGCGCGCTCCCAGGTCCAGTCTTTCTTCTTGCGTAGAAGCGAGACTGAACGCGGGAGGACGCAGATAGCCTAGTGTGGGATGGGCCCATTGAGCTTACCCCCCTGCCACGGCACATTCTGTGTTCAATAGGCGCACCCTTTCTATCTCAGTTGCGTTGTAGCATAACTAGGAGAGTGTGTGCCCTTCTGAGCATAGGATTGTGGTATGACCGGGAGGTAACCTCGAATGGCCTATCCCGCACCAGGCTATCCGCGCGCTCCCAGGTGGAGTCTTTCTTCTTGCGTAGAAGCGAGGCTGAACCCGGGAGGCCGCAGATAGCCTGGTGTGGGATGGGCCCATTGAGCTTAACTCCCCTGCCACGATACATTCTATGTTCAATAGGGGCACCCTATTGATGTCAGCTGCGTTGTAGCATTACAAGGAGGATGTGTGCTTTTCGAGCATAGGATTGTGGTATGACCGGGAGGAAAACTCAAATGGCCTTTCCCGCACAAGGCTATCCGCGCGCTCCCAGGTGAAGTCTTTCTTCTTGCGTAGAAGCGAGACTGAACCCGGGAGGACGCAGATAGCCTGGTGTGGGATGGGCCCATTGAGCTTACTCCCCTGCCACGCCACATGCTGTGTTCAATAGGCGCACCTTATTCATGTCAGTTGCGTTGTAGCGTTACCAGGAGAACGTGTGCCTTCTGAGCATGGGATTGTGGTATGACCGGGAGGTAAACTCAAATGGCCTCTCCCGCACCAGGCTATCCGCGCGCTCTCTGGTTGAGTTTTTCTTCTTGCGTAGAAGCGAGACTGAACCAGGGAGGACGCAGATAGCCTGGTGTGGGATGAGCCCATTGAGCTTACTCTCCTGCCACGCCACACGCTGTGTTCAATAGCGGCACCCTATTCGTGTCAGTTGCATTGTAGCATTATCAGAAGAACGTGTGCCTTCTGAGCATAGGATTGTGGTATGACCGGGAGGTAAACTCGAATGGCCTATCCCGCACCAGGCTATGCACGCGCTCCCAGGTGGAGTCTTTCTTCTTGCGTAGAAGCGGGACTGAACCCGGGAGGACGCAGACAGCCTGGTGTGGGATGGGACCTTTGAGGTTTACCCCCCTGCCACGCCACATTCTGTGTTCGATAGGCGCACCCTATTGATGTCAGTTGCGTTGTAGCATAACTAGGAGAATGTGTGCCCTTCTGAGCATAGGATTCTGGTATGACCGGGAGGTAAACTCAAAAGGCCTATCCCGCACCAGGCTATCCGCGCGCTCCCAGGTCCAGTCTTTCTTCTTGCGTAGAAGCGAGACTGAACGCGGGAGGACGCAGATAGCCTAGTGTGGGATGGGCCCATTGAGCTTACTCCCGTGCCACGCCGCACGCTGTGTTCAATACGGGCACCTTATTCATGTCAGTTGCGTTGTAGCATTACTAGGAGGGTGTCTGCTCTCTGAGCAAAGGATTTTGGTATGACCGGGATGTAAACTCGAATGGCCTATCCCGCACCAGGCTATCCGCGCGCCCCCTGGTGGAGTCTTCCTTCTTGCGGAGAAGCGAGACTGAACCCGGGAGGACGCAGATAGCCTGGTGTGGGATGGGACCTTTGAGGTTAACCCTCATTCCACGCCTCATGCTGTGTTCAATAGGCGCACCCTATTGATGTCAGCTGCGTTGTAGCATTACTAGGAGGACGTATGTTCTGAGCATAGGATTGTGGCAAACCTGGACGTCAACTCGAATGGCCTATCCCGCACCAGGCTATCCGCACGCTCCCAGGTTCAGTCTTTCTTCTTGCGTAGAAGCGAGGCTGAACCCGGGAGGCCGCAGATAGCCTGGTGTGGGATGGGCCCATTGAGCTTACTCCCCTGCCACGCCACATTCTATGTTCAATAGGGGCACCCTTTTGATGTCTGCTGCGTTGTAGCATTACTAGGAGGATGTGTGCTTTCTGAGCATAGGATTGTAGTATGACCGGGAGGTAAACTCAAATGGCCTATCCCGCACCAGGCTATGCACGCGCTCCCAGGTGGAGTCTTTCTTCTTGCGTAGAAGCGGGACTGAACCCGGGAGGACGCAGACAGCCTGGTGTGGGATGGGACCTTTGAGGTTTACCCCCCTGCCACGCCACATTCTGTGTTCGATAGGCGCACCCTATTGATGTCAGTTGCGTTGTAGCATAACTAGGAGAATGTGTGCCCTTCTGAGCATAGGATTCTGGTATGACCGGGAGGTAAACTCAAAAGGCCTATCCCGCACCAGGCTATCCGCGCGCTCCCAGGTCCAGTCTTTCTTCTTGCGTAGAAGCGAGACTGAACGCGGGAGGACGCAGATAGCCTAGTGTGGGATGGGCCCATTGAGCTTACTCCCGTGCCACGCCGCACGCTGTGTTCAATACGGGCACCTTATCCATGTCAGTTGCGTTGTAGCATTACAAGGGGGGTGTCTGCCCTTCTGAGCATAGGATTGTGGTATGACCGGGATGTAAGCTCGAATGGCCTTTCCCGCACCAGGCTATCCGCGCGCTCCCTGGTGGAGTCTTTCTTCTTGCGTAGAAGCGAGACTGAACCCGGGAGGACGCAGATAGCCTGGTGTGGGATGGGACCTTTGAGGTTTACCCCCCTGCCACGCCACATTCTGTGTTCAATAGGCGCACTCTATCCACGTCAGTTGCGTTGTAGCATTACCAGGAGGGTGTCTGCCCTTCTGAGCATAGGATTGTGGTATGACCGGGAGGTAAACTCGAATGGCCTATCCCGCACCAGGCTATCCGCGCGCTCCCAGGTGGAGTCTTTCTTCTTGCGTAGAAGCGAGACTCCACCCGGGAGGACGCAGATAGCCTGATGTGGGATGGATCCTTTGAGGTTTACCCCCCTGCCACGCCACATTCTCGGTTCAATAGGCGCACCCTATTGATGTCAGTTGCGTTGTAGCATTACTTCGAGGATGTGTGCCCTTCTGAGCATAGGATTGTGGTATGACCGGGAGGTAAACTCAAATGGCCTATCCCGCACCAGGCTATCCGCAAGCTCCCAGGTTGAGTCTCTCTTCTTGCATAGAAGCGAGACTGAACCCGGGAGGCCGCAGATAGCCTGATGTGGAATGGGACCTTTGAGGTTTACCCCCCTGCCGCGCCACATTCTGTGTTCAATAGGCGCACCCTATTGATGTCAGTTGCGTTGTAGCATTACTTCGAGGATGTGTGCCCTTCTGAGCATAGGATTGTGGTATGACCGGGAGGTAAACTCAAATGGCCTATCCCGCACCAGGCTATCCGCAAGCTCCCAGGTTGAGTCTCTCTTCTTGCATAGAAGCGAGACTGAACCCGGGAGGCCGCAGATAGCCTGATGTGGAATGGGACCTTTGAGGTTTACCCCCCTGCCGCGCCACATCCTCTGTTCAATAGGCGGACCTTATTCGTGTCAGTTGCGTTGTAGCATTACTAGGAGGGCGTGTGCCTTCTGAGCATAGGATTGTGATATGACCGGGGGGTAAACTCAAGTGATCTATCCCGCACCACGCAATCCGCGCGCTCCCTGGTGGAGTCTTTCTTCTTGCGTAGAAGCGAGACTCCACCCGGGAGAACGCAGATAGCCTGATGTGGGATGGATCCTTTGAGGTTTACCCCCCTGCCGCGCCACATTCTGTGTTCAATAGGCGCACCCTATCCATGTCAGTTGCGTTGTAGCATTATCAGGAGGACGTGTGCCTTCTTCTGAACATAGGATTGTGGTATGACCGGGAGGTAACCTCGAATGATCTATCCCGCACCAGGCTATCCGCGCGCTCCCTGGTGGAGTCTTTCTTCTTGCGTAGAAGCGGGGCTGAACCCGGGAGGACGCAGATAGCCTGGTGTGGGATGGGTCCTTCGAGGTTTACCCCCCTGCCACGCTACATTCCATGCTGAATAAGACTCACCGTAATCATGTTCCAATAGGGTTTTCCTTACTACACCCTGTTGGAGTTGTATCAACGGTTTGGCGCTGGAACGTTGGCGGCGATGGAAGAGTTTCTGGCCATTCCCTTCGACAAAGTTTTCTTTGTTGAAGCCCACTTCGACGCTTCCTCTAGTGCCTAAAGGAGCTTTCCTCAGGATGCCTCCTGTAGCACGCATCACGTTCTTAAACGATATCGATTGCCCGACCACAGACAGCTGGCGTGTGCGTGTTACGGCTGTCTATCCGCGGTGCCCCCATGTCGTTCTGGCCGGAAGTTATTTGTGGCATGCGATTCACCGGTGGCTCGCGGTGGTTTTCCTTATTCGCTGCTCCCCCCCCCCCCCCCCCC